GTTGGCATATAGCTTTTCATAGTATTCTCTTATAATCTTTTGTATTTCTGAGGTGTCCGTTGTAATTTCTCCTCTTTCATTTCTGATTTTACTTATTTGAGCCTTCGTAGAGAAATCTTCTGAGTCCCCTGGTTTAACTCCCTCATCTTTCAGGTTGAGGAAGTGACTTGTCCAAATTAGCAAAACTAGTTTGAGGTGGAGCCGCGATTAAAATCCAGATTCCAGATCTCGTCTCCTCCCCTTGTACCACATCATGTCTCCTCGGAGAAGAGGGAAGAGATCTCCTCAGAGAGGCTGGGGGCTCCCTCCACCTACTGTGTGCGGGGGCTCACCTCAGTTTCCTCATCTGTTGAATGGGGGTAATACTAATGCCCCTCATGGGCCTGCTGGGAGGGTGGGATGAGATGGAAAATATAAAGTAAGCGCTGTGGAAACGTAGACTAGTTAACCATTGTTACCACTGTCGATGGCATTCAGAAGGTTTGCAGCAAGTAGGAGAACTATATAAACAAATGAGTCCTTCCTCCTGCTCAGAAATATCAGAAGAAATTTTTGCTCTTGCTCTGTGAATCGTTAGCCACTTGTAAAGAAAATTCTCTGCCTTTGTAGCATCTTAATTGCATCTTGTGTGTGTCTGGTGTTTTGCAAAAAAGGAAAACACATTTGGAGTTCTCCACATTAAAAGTCTGAGGGAATAACAGCGTGCTTCCTGTCCCCAGTTTATCTTTTATCTTCTCCAACATTCACAAAGAGCGTTCAAATGGCTGTTATGCCCTGGGTGAATGTGGCCCTGGTTGTTAGCTAACAACCATTCATTAGCCAAAAAAAAAAAAGAATTTTGTGAGCAATAAATGGCAGCCATGACCCTCCCAAGGCCTGTGCTCTGGGCAGCTGGCGACTGCGGGCCTCTGCTGACGGCAAAGACGGCTGTTCCACCTGTTCCCAAAGTCTTACTGAGGGCCAGCCTAGGACAGAGGTAACTAATGTTTACTCCCAAATAATAGACGATTCTGAAGGCTACAAAAACCATCAAAGAAAAACTATGCTAAGAATATATGAGGATTTTGTTCTTTAAAATTTGGTAATTTCTTTGCAGTCAATAATTTGCCTAAAGCATCTGCTTACTCTTCAGTAATTTGCCTAAAGCATGTACTTATTCAGTTAATGAGAATATTTGATTGGACAGAACGTCTTATCCCCAACTCTGTTATGGGCCTTTATAGATTGTTTTCACTTATTGCAAATGTCTCTTGCTCTAGAATCAAAAATCATCATGGCAAGTACAGCACAGTAGGAGAAAGAGATGAAAAGATATCTCCTTAATTAGGTGGTGTCAGGATAGTGT